AGAACCTTCAAGCCAGTTATCCTCCCAAAATAAAACCGAAGTCCCATCACCCACCAAACAAATCATGGAGATCGTGACCAGATTGCGCTCCTTCTGCGAGACCGGGATATTGAGCCCATGCCAAGGCTTGTCCGGCGAATTTCTTTGCTGCCAAAGCCAGCGCGACCGCAGAGCAATACCCATCCTTTCCAAATCAGGAATTCCCAGTCCACCAAATTCTTTAGGGGCACAAACTCGAGGCCAAGCGACCCGACAAACACCACCATTTGCGACTGCCTTGCCAGCCCAGAGGAACCCACGGTGGATTTTGTCGATCCCCTTGATCACCCACTTCGGCACGTTGATGGCCATGAGAAGATAAATTGGGATTGAACTTAGCACTGCATTAACCATGGTTGCCCTCCCGATGGGAGTCATTAAGTCGGCAATCCATGAAGGCAGCCGACGAGCTATCCTATCAACCAATAGCTGCAGGTCTTCCTTCTTCAACCGAAAGATTGATAGTGGCAGGCCAAGGTAAGTGCATGGGAAAGAAGCGACCTGACACGGCAGCTCATCCCGAAGCAAAGTGTGATCAGCTTCATTGCATTGGATGGGCAACGCCGAGCACTTTGCGAAGTTGGTTCGAAGGCCCGAAGCTTCACCAAAGATGGCTAAGATTTCTGTTGCCGCCCGAATCTCCCATAAAGCCGGCCGGATGAAGGCGACCACGTCGTCAGCATATAGGGAAATCTGAAATGGAATCCCTAACGGTCTCAACAATTCTTCACTGGGGCTCAGCATATCCATCGCGATGATGAAGATCATTGGGGAAATAGGGTCACCTTGGCGAACACCTCTCCTGTGCACAATTGGGCCGCCGGGCTCCCCATTGATTAGCACACGCGAGGAAGCAGTACGGAAAAGCATTGCAATCCAAGAACGCCATCGATGTCCGAAGCCTTTGTGCTCTAGCACCTCCAAGATAAACGGCCAAGAGATGGTGTCGAATGCTTTGGCTATATCAAGTTTGAGCAAGACCGAAGGAACCTTGCGATCGTGGAGGCGTTTAGCCGATTGCCTGACAAGCATGAAGTTGTCATGAATGCAACGCTTCTTCACAAAAGTGCTCTGATTCTTGGCGACCAACGAATCTAGCTTTGGCGCAAGGCAGCGGGAGAGAATTTTGGTGAAGAGTTTCACAAAACTGTGCACCAAACTGATAGGCCAGAAGTCTTTAAGATTCTTGGCATCCGGACGCTTGGGCAGGAGAGAGATGAATGCCTTGTTCACCTTATGGAGGCTGGATCCATCCATGCGATGCAACTGGTTTAGTGCTGCTAGCACATCCTCCTGGATGATACCCCAAAAGCAGTGATAGAATTGCCCCGAGAAACCGTCCGGCCCCGGAGCCTTGTCCCGAGGGCTGTCAACGATTGCTCTCCACACTTCATCCACGGTGAACGGCTCCTCCAACTCAGATAAGAGTTGTCCCCTTGGCTCTAAAAAGTCCAGTTCCAAAGTGAATGCACGCTGACCGACTAAGCCAAGAACATCAGTAAAATAGGATTGAGCAAGGACTGCCTTCTCATCCGGCGCCGTGGCGATCTGCGAGTTATGCTCAATCTGCTGCACAAAATTCCTCCTACGACGGTAGGCTGCATGCTGATGGAAAAATCTTGTATTGGCATCTCCTTCCTGCAGCCACAAGATACGCGACCGCTGCCTTGCCATGGTTCGCTCCAAAGAAGCGAGTGCAAGATATTTCTTTTTGAGTGCGCGATGAAGGAAGCGCTCCTGCGCTGAGAGACGGCGAGATTCCTCCATGCGGTCAAATTTACCAATGAGCTCCCGAGCCATTTCTAACTGAAGTTTAACATTCCCGACCTTCTTGTCGCTCCAACTTTGGAGAGCCCGACCGGTTGCTCTCAGCTTGAAATCCAGCCTAGAGATTGGGTCCTGGATGGCACAAGGTGCCGACCAAGCATTCTGAACGACCTCGGTGAACCCATCCAATTTGCACCAAAAACTCTCAAACCGAAACCGACCTTTGAATGGATGAGAGGGTAGAGTTGATAAAAGGAGGGGACAGTGATCTGAAATTACAGAGGGGAGGGCTTTGAGGAAGCATTGCGGGAAGAGAGGGTGTTAGCCTCTTGCCAGCCAAGTCCATCAACGTTTCATATGATTTCAGCGCCACTGTAAAAGGTGTTGTGATGTCTCTCCAGCGCCGCTTTTGGCCGTTGCCATATGATTTCAGCGAGCCAATGGATTGGTCGCATAGTCCCCTCTGGCTTTGCGGATGGGCCGCGTGCCCGCACCATGGACAGTGGACACCGATCTAATCGCTGTCGTCGATGTCGATGGATCATGACATCTCTGGCGATCGACCTGCATGATGGCTTATACCTCAATCGATCTGCAAGAAAGGGAAAGAGATAATCCTTGATCAATCTAGAAGAAATAGAAAACAAGAGAGGGATGAAGTGATGGACATACCAGCTAGAATCAATCACCTGGGAATATCAAATGGTGTAAAAGCCGCTCATGTCAATGGAATCATGCGTCCGACAGATGGACGAGGGCTTGAGATGGATTTGATGCCACCACTACCACAGAAAAGATCATCAGTGCCAATTGGGGACCCTCTTAGGATGCCGGTTTTCTCAACCAGCACCATGGAGGTGCGCCGGCACCAATGTGGAATCGACAAGCCAAAAAAAAAGGAAGCTGACTCGAGCCGATACTTGGGCCGATGAACTCCCACATAAACCCACATGAACAAGAACAACAAATGATGAACAAATCCCACATCAACGCACATCAACAGATGAACAAGAACAACACATGATGAATAAATCTCACATCAACTCACATCGACTCAACAGATCTCACACCAATTCTCATAGCAACAAATGAACTTCCACATGAACAAGAACGCATCTCACATGAATAAGAACAAATCACAAAGAGGGGGGGAGAGGGGAAGAGATGGATCCGCCGGCCACGGACGCCGTCGCACCTACAGTCGGCAGCCCCACCTCCACGCCGACTGTCTTCGCCGCGCCGCACCTCCAACCGCGCAGCCCCACCTCCGGATCCCCGGAGCCGAGGGGCAAGTGCCGCCATGCTGCAAGATCCGGCGCGGGCCGCCTCCATCCCATCGCCGCACGCCGTCTCCCGCCACGGGCCACCGCCGGGTCGTCGTCTCCCCTCCCGCCAAATCTGGCAGAGGGGAGGATGCCGTCGTGCCACCGCCAGACCACCACCTCCCCTCTCATTGGATCTGGCGGAGGGGAGGGCCCCGCCATGCCGTCGCCGTGGTGGATGTTGAAGGAGAAGAGAAGGAAGAAGTGGAGAGGAAGAGAGAATGAAGGAGAGAAGAAAGAAGAAGAGAGAGGAAAACGAGAAGGTGCGGTGGGTGGTGAGGAAAACGAGAAGGAAGAGGAAAGGAAAATGCTAGGTGGTGCAGTGGGCTGAGCCCACCGGTTCGACTTGGCTCGCCAGATTAAAGGCGTAGTTTTTGACTGTGAATCGGCATCTATTTCTTTTGCCCACAAAGATGCCGATTCTAGGATGGACCCCGCGCCAAATACTCCGATGGGATGGGTACTAAAAGATGTCAGATTTAAATTAAAACCGGCATCTATCTCTAACAATAGTAAAAGGTTCAAAAACCGGCACCTATTAGAAGATAAAGACACAGATTCTTGGCATTTTGGCAGGCTAACGGGGGCGTGGGCCGACGCATGGGTGGGAAATACACTATAGGTGTAGGTTTTACCACTTTCGGTATTTTGTAGTAGTGGATTCAATGCCAATGGTGCAAAAGCTGCTGTTGTCAATGGAATCACACCTCCGGTTGGTGGACGAACTGTATGGGCTTGACGATGGATTCGATGCTACCAGATTCAGGGGCTGTTCAGATTGTAGCCAAAATAAACCTTACCAAAATTTTGGCAATTTGACAATATCACGAAAATTTTGGTAATATTTTAATAAGTTGGCAATATTACTAAAATTTTAGCAGGAATTTTTATATATTTACCAAAGTTTGGTAACAAACTAAATATAGGCATTTTTTGATAACTTTACTTAAAAAATGGTATTGTTAAAAATAACATCAATCTGAACCGCACCTCAATGCCACCGCTGCACAGACTTGCCGATGGATTTCCGTTGTCTTGGTCCGCTACTCACCACCGTGGCCCGAGCCGCCGTCGCCTCCAAATTGCCCGTATATCGCGCTCACCTGACAACCGATCTGTTGATTTGCATTTCGGTTTAGCACTACGTCAGAACAAGATATTTATGCGAGCATTCAAATGAAGGGTTCCGATCTGTGCGGGATACAGATATTACGAGGAATTTTTTTGGAACAAAAATCAAAACAGGTTGGTATATGGATCCGCTAGCAGACTCAATCTCGACTAGCTGTGATAGGATGGTGGAGGCGTAAGCAGGAGTACATCCTCCCAGGAATATAGAACCATTTTCCTAGTTACGCCATACAGTCAATAACTTTAAAACTGCTCTTTTAAGCTACACAAAACCACCTAAGAAGGTAATATAAATGGTATTGTAAAGTTTAGAGGTTGAATATCCGGTTTTAAAGTTCATGATGCTAGACTAGCTTCTATCCAATATCTTTTGGGGAAGGGGTTCGTGGACTTTTTCCATAATTAAAATGCCAAACAAATCGAGTACGGTTTTTCACCAAAATCTTGTTCACCCTCTTCCATATAAGTAGGAGTGGCAATTGGGGCGAGGACCACACAGGTAACCCACCCCTACGGGGCTGATGGTGGGGCTAATTCCTCACCCGCTAGGCGGACGGGCCGGGGCCCTGACAATTGCCGGGGGTAGAGGGCAAGGATAGAAAGTGACCGGCAGGTTACCGGAACCTGCCCTGAAATTATTTCCAACACTTCACCTCAATGGCTAAGGTCCAATAAGAAGTCCATGTACCAGCCATCTAGCCCATCCGTTTCCCCTAAACCCTAGTTACACCACACGGTCAATATGCATATGGTATTCATACATAAGTAGGTTAACTATATAATATAGTAGTTTCAGTATTTACAAAATAATGTATATTTTATCGCATATCGTTTAAACTCTGGTTGACATTACGACAACCTTGAAGTACCCATATACAATAAAAAAAACCATCATGAAAAACTGATCGTTCAGAGGTCTGACGGCGTTCTCGCGCGGTTGGCGATCGTCTATCGCCCTCTTTAGCTGCGTCCTACATCAATAGACGCCCACAATGACGAATACCAGCTGACAACATCTTGCTTATACGTACTAACGTAGTACTTGCAGCCAATCAATCATCAGTATGCCATCACCGATTCACCGGAATAACCTGCCTAAAGCCACCATGCCGTCTTCCCTGATCAACAGTTCCTCCTTGATAGTCATATTTCAGTTTACCCCTTGACCCAACAATGGCAACAGCCCAACAATGCCACGTTTCAGTCATGAAGTTATAATGGCTGGGTCTCACTTAAATCATAGTCTCTTCAATTTGGGTAATAGACTCAATCTTGTCAGTGGTCTTCAAATCTACATCTTCAATTTCTTCATTCTGCAACTGACCACCTAGAACGTCATGTGGATCATCCGAGGGGCACTTGTCAGATGGATTCATTGGGTTCATATGGCAGAAGCACTCAGGCCATGAGTTTGTATAGAAAGACTCTGGATGAATGCGCTTGTGTGGACCGCCAAAGTGTGTGTTGAACATTACTTGCCTGACTCGATCCTCAAAACCGGTTACATGGCCTTCCTCCCTGTCCATGAATATTGGAGCAAGGGCCTTCCTGTTTGGTGTAATTGTTGTCTGGAAGCCATAGTAGAGGCGGTGGCCCATGAGGTTGTTTGCAAAGTTGCTTGGACCATCGTACGTGGGCATGAAGATATCCGACAGGAGACAGACCATATAATCTACTGCTGATCCAGCCAAGCCTCGAGTATTTTCTTCCAGCTTTTCAGGTCCAACTGAACTGTGGTTATCTAGGCGAGGAAACATTGCTCTAAATGGACTCATGAATCGATCACCACCAAATATCTCACCAGATGCAAGATAAATACGGGTTGAATTGTCAAAACCAATGGCACGAAGGATAAGGCCCACCTGCATAACAACAACAAATAGATCAAATTGTATCCATCATCTAATTGCAACACTCCATGTATTCATCAGCGACTACCAAATAGTTCATGTTAACGGTCTGTTAAAATGTTTGGAGCATTTTATATCCTGCTAGTATTTTCTTGCCAGTTCACACAATGTACGCATAAAACAGAATTGTCAGGCAAAAAGCATTTTATGTCCTGCTAGTATTTCCTTTCATTGTATTTTTTTTCTCACGAAAGAAAGAAAATGAAAGAAGCATCAACTGTTTATCTAAATATCCCTCTCAGTTCACTGCCAAAGAACCAATACAAACTTCCAACTTCAGGCCCACAGGTTTGCAGTTAGGAACCATCTAGACCTTCACATCAACCGAATTTAGTTCCAATGATTCATTTACAGGAGAATTGACTTGCAAATCCAAAATCCTAACTCTACTGAATGCCATGGTGTCCTATCATTGAATTAAGTTCAATAGATCATTCAATATAATAAAACTAGGAGCAAAATTAATTTCTCACCTCTTCTGGAGTCAAGGGGCACTTCCCTATGATTCTTCTATCCTTGTAAACAAGGATTTTCTTTGCAAAATTTTTTTCACGGTATTCGATCAGAATTTTCTGTTCTTCTGGGGTAAATATATCAATGCATCTGCAATTCCATTTAGAGATTAATACACGTATCATATGTACATTACCAAATAGAAAGGACAATTGATCAACTATAACATATTAAACTGGCTGCACAGGTTATCAGCAATAGAGGAGAAAAGGATAGGTCACTGGGTACCAGGTTCATTTAAAAATTAACTATAGTACTTTTTATTAAAATAATGAACAAAATATTCCAAAAATTATAAGTAAGGCTTGACATAGAAAACATAATATTTTTTCTGATCCTAAAATGAGATATCAGCACAGGAATATTTGCGAATGTGTTGCAATCATTTTATACATTCAACAAATTAAACAGTCCTAAACTCAAGATTGAAAAGGTAAGTTACTGTGTTAAGTCATAAGAACCGAGCAAGTAATGAAAATTAAATCAATGATGTGATGTACAAAAAGTTCATGCAAATATTCCATACCCAGCAAAAGCAAGCATGTCCATCTCAAATCGAAGATGAATTGACATGAAGTGGCCTTCAGACCGTAGCTTGTTCACTATCTCATTGCTAATTTTCATGATATGTGGCTTAAATCGTAGTGCGTGGTAATTCACTCGGCATCTCAACCTCTGGAGCTCTGGATCATCAATATCTTCTGCTAAGCGGTGTGAGAAAGGAGTTAAATATATAGCCCCATACTTCTTCATTTCTTCCAAAGCCAATGTTGTATACCAACTTAGCGGAGCATCTCTAGGTGGCACAATCTGAAAAAAAAATTGAAAAAGTTGTGACACCATAAGTTAATGAGGAAAAATGATCTAAAATATAATTAAATACAATAGAATTGCATCAAACCTTATGAGCTTTGAGCTTCTTAGTCTTCCCTTTTGACATAATCCCGGGCAGGCTTGTAACAATATGAACATCATGTTTTAAAGTCTTCAGAAAATGGGGAACATCATAGATACCTGGAAAACCACTGGACATATATATAAGTGCCAAAAGTAAAATAAATACTACAAACATGCTTAATTATTAACACAAACAGCATAACAAAAAAAAATTATTGCCTTTTACTACCTCCGTCCTAGGATATAGCAACCTAGGATGGGATGAGACCCATCCTAGGCATGTCCAGATATAGTCCTAGGATGGGTCTCATCCCATCCTAGGTTGCTATATTCTGGGACGGAGGGAGTAGAAGATAACTGTAATATTTTATTCTGAATTAATAAATAGTCCCCATGATGATCCACATGAAATATTTCACTGAATCTGAGCATTTAACACATATAAGCACATGAAAAAGATGTGGGCTAGAAGACCGAGATGCGCCTAGAAAATGCGATGCAACAGGGAATACTTGCTCATTACTGAAGGGTAATGTTCATCGTGTAACAGGCACAGTTATAAACTACGATCAAATCTAAAGAACTTTGGAATCATATTTGAATAGATTAAAGATCTCATCAGCCAAGGAAAGGAGACATAGTCCAGAATAATGAAGTGATAGAGTGAAATGCAATATGCACTCAACAAAAGGAAACCATAAATCAAGTATAAACCACATGTATAATGAGTTAATAACCATTTCAGACAACAAGATACCTTTTATCCCGCCAGAAAGAATTTGTATCAAGCTCTGGTAGAACTAATGTAGCATTCATTATACGAGCTGCAACAACAGCATTACATATCTACAAGAAAAATAAAATACATTTATCAGTCCTGCAAGAGCACATTGCTGCCTACAAATAACATAGAACTTCGATGACATTGCGTGCCACCAATTACATAGAACTGAAAAGAGTCATCTCAAACATACAGCACTTCTTTGTTGATTCAATCCGCCATTGCACCGAACACGCAAGTATCCATTAGTCTCAGCTGGAGGGGCTATAAATTGAGACATTACACAGCAGATCATCCACTTTGACATAATTCGATTAGTGTGCACAATAATATATACAAATATTGCATGAACAAACATACGAGGCCAATATGACCGTGGTGCAGAAGATGCTCTCCAACCATTTGAACCAGCAGTCGTCCACAACTTATTCACATCAACATCCTTGAATTATATGAAAAGGTTAGTTTGATCAATCTGTCAACAAACACATGTGCACATCTACTTATGATTAGAGACATAAGTTTGTAAGAAGATCTGATAGTAAATCTTCATTGAGAACAACCAAAATTAAAACTAAAAAATAGTAGGAAAAAGAAGGAATTTCAAACATTTTAAAAGAAAGAATAGTAACCATCCCTCATATAATAGTTAATAGTCAATTCAACTTACTGCATGTTAGGACATAGAATTTGATCTGTTTAACTCTCAATGTATTTCTCATGTACTTTCCATTGCATTGATGCAATTTTAAAGGAAGCATACTGCACCCCACAGCATGCAAAAGGTAACTTAGTTTAGCACTGAGGTAGATAAGGGCATCATTCTTGGGTCAATTTACTTTCAAATTGTACTGGTCCATCCAGATCTCCTTCCTTTGAAATAACCAATTAAATTTAAACCAAGTTAGTCTGATTTTTCTTAACTGACGGAGTAAGCATGGAGGCTGATCCTAAGGACAGGTTAAAAAAATAGAGGGCAAAAATAGTTCACTACTACTTAAGTACTGATCAAACAGTGCCTTGATATGAAATAGTAAATTACGCTTGTGGTGCACGACCTTGCAAAGGTGGATGCAATTCAATGCAACTTATCAAAAGCTAGCACCAGTACAACCTGCGCAGTGTGTGAAAACCAAGGCCAAATAAATCCATGTGAGCTAATTAGAGCACTGCAGTGCTTGCTAGGATACCAAGTTACCAACAATGCAAGGGTACATCCATACCAGTCCACATTGGTTAATCATAGCTCTTCGGCTCTGACTGGGATGCCAGCTGAGCGAGACTTGCGATGTGATCCACCGTGGAAAGGATGGACTGGGTTACTATATCTGCTTTCAGTAGAAATAAAATTCTATTATGTTTTCTTTGTGTTGTTCGATATGCCCCATGATACATTTCAATGGTGAGTTTGGCATCATAAGTGTTCTAAATATGGCATAATGCACCAAGTACCTGCCGTCATTTGGCATTTGATGGTTCATTAGGTGGTTGCGCTGCCTTGATGGCTCTAGTGTTTTTATATCAATGCTGTGATGTCTTTCTTTTATGTCATAGGTTAATTGGTTGAAGGGCACTAGTCAACTTGGTCCTAGGAACTGTCTAGGTGCCCCAAGCCACTAGGCTCAAGCCTTTCTACTCATCTAACATATAGTGCTTTCTGTAACCATGCTCATCGTGAGAACTTACAAATGTAAATAAAGTACTAATAAACAATACAAAAAATTCCAATAAGAAGTCAGTATCACAAAAACAGAATAGATCAATGATACCACATCTACCTCTTTGTTGCACCAGTTCAGGCATTTTGTAAAATGCTACACCAAATTGCATCTACCTAACATGTTCGTGTACTATTTTGTGCAACTTAATCTTTTGAAAAATTCAAAAAATTTTCAAAAACATAAAAACAATGATATGGCAATAACTCTGAGTGCATGAACCAAGAATGGTCTCAATGATTTATAAGATAGCTCGGTCTAAAAATTATTTCCAACCAAACCAAACTAATAAATGTTTTATCATCCACAGCAGCATCGAATCCATAATTCTACTCCCATCATCTTCTCTAAAACTAGTAGCAAATTTTACTCACAGTTAGCCAAGTATTTTAGTTAGAATGCAGTCGGTGTCCCCAATAAGATTGATCATGCTTCAATGATTCAAACATTCGAAGAGAATTCATGAGTGCAGTAGAGTTACACAAACCTGAAAACATTCAACGTAAATTCATCCAGATATCGAGAAACCAAAAAGACAACCAATCAATTGGGATTGTTCGTCATCTCATCATCTGCTAGCAGTACAGCTTCTTTGTTCGATCTCAACATATAGGATGAATCTAACATTGAATTTTTGCATATTTATATAAATTTATCTATACTGAACTCATGATTTATTTTGGAATTTTGGAAGGATTGAAACATGTTGAATTTGACTTGAATGGACACCCCTTCCCCAGTACACTAAATGTCTTTACACGAGTTTCAGCAACATTGGAAATTCTGCTATGATATATCGCACAGACCTTTCCTCCTGGTTGTTGTCTCATAAACAAATATTATATTGTCGACTTCATCCACCATTATTACCTGAACCTTTCCACTCTATAGACCAGATGCTGACAGCCAAACGAGAAGTTTCAAGCTTACAGCTACTTGTCATTTTCACATAAACAATGAAGCCTTCAGTATATGTTTTTCGGTTAGCACCAGATCATCTTAGTAAACAAGCATGCCATTTGCCATTGTTAGATGCCCATTCTTTCACAATTATGACTTATTCTTATTTCTCCAAGTCCAAGATGATGAATGGTGTTGCACTGCATGTTAGTGCACTGTGCATTATCATAGTTGCAAAATTACAATTCATGCATTTCTAGCAAACAACTAACAGTAATAGGAGATATGACTAGATAAGCTTTCACTCAGGGAATAATGACGAGTGAATGGTGCATGAATGGCATTTTGGAGTTTAATGAGTTAACAGACATAGGCAGAGAGCATCTACTGATAAGAATCAATGAGTGTTATGAATAATAATAGAGAATAAGTTATGTAATTCATCTCATTGTAAAGAACTAAGATGTGTTATCATCTGAAAGGCTATCAACCAATATAATAATTAGCATGCCCGAAAGTTCCGAATATAAAGAAGTGATCAAAACCTAATATAGGAATAGATCTTACCACCTGCAAGCAATTCAAGCATATGTTGTTACCAAATTGTGGTATGCGACTATTCCTGAACAACTAAATCTAAGCCATTCGATCCAATTTCAATTGGCAACACCAACATCGCAGTTCCCCATATATAGGTTTATAAACAGTAACTGTTCGTCCCGTCAAATTTGTCACAATTAACAGTTTAACACCAACCAATCACCACAGCATCAGCATTGCCACAACGGAGCACACAACACAACCCCAAAATGAGTACCGAAGAAGATCTCCCACCTACGCACCTGAACCCTGTAGCCGCCGTAGGGGCCTCCCATGAAGCCCGCCGATGACGCGCAGAGCCAGACGGTTCCGGCGACGAGCACCGCCACCGCGACGCACATCCGCGGCGGCGACTTCCCCGCGCCTCCGCCGCGCCGGAGCCAGGCCTCCCCTCCCCTGCGCTACACCACAGGCCACGAATCGACCCCCACCCATCAGACACAGCTTTTCAAACCAACTCCCCGGAGGAAATGGTGGAAAAGAGGGGCGATAGGGCGGGCCGCGGGCCAGTGTGTGCGAGAGGTTCCTCGTACCTGCGCATTGGAGGCTGGCGGTGACGACGCACGACGACGGCGGCGGCGGCGGCGGCGACGGCGATCGGGTGGGATTCGCGAGGCAGGATGAGGGGTTTGTCGGCGGGGAGCAGGGATTTTATGGGGGTTTAGATCTGACTCTGACAGCGATGCTGCTAGGCCGTGTATCTACAGTGCAGGAAAAGCCTTGCAACGAATTTGGTGGTTTAGTTTTTTCTCGTGATTTTCTCGTAAATCAATTGAGGATAGATTGGGTTTTGGGGCTTTGTTTCAAGGGATTTGCTGTTCACTAGTAATCGTGCACGTGTAATGGACGTTTTAAATACTATATCGTGCTTACTACCATTTTGCTGGTTCTAATGGCAAAGCAGCCATAAAGTAATATCGTGCTTAATGCTATGTTGTAGTATCAAACTACAACGTACTAAAATCAATGGTGCAAATTATTAGTGGTCAAAAAAATTAGCAGAACAGGCAATTAAAAGTGCATAGAAGGAAAAAAAAATGTCAATCCATATTTTAATGGTAAATGGAAGAGAAACAAAAACATACCTGTGGGCAAAATAAATGTTATATAGATTACTAACTACATGTATCAGAATATAATGATACATACTAGTACAAATTCATGACTATACAGAGCATGTGCTTGTCGCGCGCCGACTCGCCGTTTCCGACATAGATGCAGGTTAAAATTGATGATAGAGTAAAGTCCATCACCGGTCCCTAAACTTATACCGTTGTGTTATCCTGGTCCCTAAATTCGCAAATCGACCGTTCAGGTCCTCAAACTTGTTCGACCGTATCATCCTGGTCCCTAAACTTGCAGATCACTCGTTTAGATCCTCCAACTTGTTCAGTTGTGTCACCACGATCCCTAAACAGGACGGTCTAAAAACTTTATATTAAAAAATAATTTATAACTTTTTCATGTAAACCCTAATGAAGACAAACTTTATATCAAAATTGTAGCCCTCGACGCGACCTACAACTTTGTAGTTGAAAAGTTTTTGAATTAAAACTGTTTAGGGTCTCAAAATATTGTTGCATGTTTATAGATTTTGAAATTTTAATTTTAAAATTACATTTTGGGAAAAAAAATGACTTAGAATAAAAAAAAATCAACTACAAAGTTGTAAATCGCGTCGAGGGGTACAAGTTTGATATAAAGTTTGTCTTCATTAGAGTTCACATGAAAAAGTTATGAATTATTTTTAAATATAAAGTCTTTAGACCGTCCTATTTGACCTAGATGATATTCAAATATAAGTTTAGGGACCAGGGTGACATAACTGAACAAGTTGGAGGATCTAAACGAGTGATCTGTAAGTTTAGGGACCGGGATGACACGGTCGAACAAGTTTGAGGACCTGAACGGTCGATTTGCGAGTTTAGGGACCGAGATGACATAGCGGTACAAGTTTAGGAACCGGTGATGGACTTTACTCTTGATGATACTTTATATAACTTTAGAAGTCACACACCTAATTCCATGTTAACAAAGTACTATAAGTTTACTAAATGATGATATTGAAGTTGATAAATCGATTAGCTAGGAACATGTCGATCTCAGAGACTCCCAAAAGCCAGAAGTTGTGCTTGAAGACGCTTTACTTCTGAGAAAGGTCTAACTGCTCATCTACCTTCTTGCACTTCAAGCTCACATTCACCACACAAAGTATATATTCTTCTCAATTTCTGATGTTTTCTAGGCACTGCAACTGTGCCAAAATGGCTTTTGTTGCTTTGGCCTCTGCAGCGGTTTGTGCTAATTGAAAGTTGAGACAAACTGAAATATTGCAGAAAGGTTAACTTTCCATTGTATGAGACTATGGGTGTTATCAACTTCCTTGGATTTGCAACTCATGGGAATGCCTGGACAAGAAACATCAAGATCTCAAAGAAAATAATTCTTTCAAAAAAAAAAGCACATTAGTTCTTGTAAGCATAATAGAGTGAATCTATTGAATTGCGAAGGGATAAACTTCTGACCACACTTACACAAACCTTCCTAATCAACATTGGTCTGATAAAATCCTTTCCAATCAGTATTGATCCGATACAAATATAATTCCAACCAGAATTGCTCCAATAAAACCCTTGCCAAACTGCTCCCACAAAATACATTTTCCCAATAATATTGCTCCAATAATATTCTCTTTCCAATCAGCACTGCTCCAATTAATCAAAACTTAGTTTAGGTACCTGTAATCAAATGCAAAGTTAGTGATAACAATGATAATGTAACTGTAGAAGAATGCATTGGATAAAATGTAGAATCACATCCAAAGTTTAGCTATACTAATAACATGAATGTTGCACATCACAATTATTGGAAAACATCCTTGCCTAACAAACAGAGATCTGATTTTGAATTCAGATTTGAATAAATTCAAATTTTCAAATTGAATGAACCATGTGTCGTCATCTAAGGTAATTTCTAGGTCATTTTAACTGAAAGCTAATTTGAATATCAGAACAATAGACTTTTACATATCTTCTCGCCTGCAAATTGTAGAAAGATCCATACGATTGTAGAAAAATGAACACATGAACATTGTTAATGGACCTCGCTCCCAACTATTACTTGCAGTAGTGAAAAAGCATACACACATGGTTACTCAATATAAGTATATTCTTGCACATATCATTTTAGCTATCAGTATAGCCTAAATTCCATAATCTGAATATACACTAATTAACTTGAGGTATTTATTTATTCGAACATCCAGCTATTCAAGGTAGCTTATTTTACTTAGCATTCTATGGATAAAGAAAAGTATCACGGATCTCAGTGAAAGAAATTAGAGCAAACATGATTAAAAAGCAATATGTTCTCATATCTTCAAAATTAACTATTGGCATGTAATACTCAATTGTAGCAGAAAATAGCAGCAACAGATACTGATCATTCACGCAAAAACAATCACAAGTAGTCAGTAGAGTTGTATGCATACATATGCAGACATGCCAAAGGATAATACCAACCTTTTCAAATGAAAATCCTATAAACCAAATATTCAGAGTTGTCTGTCTATCAAGTATTTGTTCTTCTGATTACCTAAAAAAAGCTATGACGAAATAGCAGCAAACCACTGGCTTATAATCACTACTCCAGCTTTGTAAAATTAGAATATACTTGCATCATTTTCAGAAGCTTCAATTAGCTCATGATTTTTTCAAGCAAAAATCTACCGAATTTTGGTTATGAAGTGTGAAGAATATACATAGCACTCACCATCACCAACTGGCTTGCCATCCCATTCGACAATGAGCAGCAATGGGATCCCACTGTTGAAGAACATCACCTCAGCAACCACCTAGCATCGGTGGCAGAGATGCTCACCGCGCTGGTGATCTTGAGCACGCCAGGTCTACCAACCTAGGCACCAGCGTAAGCAGCCGCTTGACCATTCAACTAGTCACCCGTTGTGTTGAACGCCGGCACCATCAGGTCAATGTTACTCGTGACAAACACCATAATCATCATCGGCCCCTCAATCACATTCCTAGCTTAATTCGACGATGCATTCAGCATCTACAACGACCAGTGTATGCAACAGACCATGCCTACAAAGCGCCACAAAAGTACAATGTTATCTACCTAGAATAATCTAAATCAACATGGGCGTCGACGTGTGGGTGGGGTCATACACATTCGTTCGTTCAATTGCCAATCTTTAATGGCAGAAATATCATGTCCAAAAAAATCTTTTATGGCAGAAATAGACTGTTTCTTTGTTTATTCACTGCATATCTGAATCCACATGTGTGCTTGCCGACTTCCATTGTGCTTGAATTTTGAACCTGAAAGTTTAAAGTCAAGATTCCACAACATAAATTGTTAGGACTGTAGATTTACATATTAGATGAGGATTATATAGCATTTAACAGCAAAAAAAAATGCACAACGACCTTCTTCCTCCTCCTATGCTGCATCATTGGAACCATTCTGATAACGAATTAGTGAAGAAGTACCACATCGATTGGAATATTTCAAATCCTTTTGTCAGTCTCCTTGACATGTCAGGGAGTCAGGGACACATTAACGCAACAAGTGAACAGTTTTTACTCCTTCTACAATAAAACAGATTTTACTCATGGCACAGTGATTCATTATGCATTATCAGTATAAGAGCACCGTCACCAGCAAAAAAACAACGATAACAACTATAATGATAAAAACTACTGAATCACCGTTATGTCGTTTATGTAGTTTATTCAATAGAGAAGTATTTAAATTACTTGATTTCCTGGGGATGTGGCAACTATTCCATTACAGGCATACAGGGCACCTGAACCGGCTCCATCACCAAAGAGGAGAACTCAGGTAATAAGTTAGATCCACGAAAATATGTTTGATTAGTGATTAGCCCCCACACCTCCACCAGCATCCTCTGTACATGGTTCACCTACAAGGCTACAAAGAACAGGAAGGAGATGAGGGGGAAGAAAATAATGTTTCATTGTATTTGGACATGGCGGCTGCGGTGGCTGTAGCACAAGTGTGGGAACTCACCTCGCAGGCGTTGGAGATGGGGTGTTGGCCTGCTCGATTGGGCGGCGGGCGGCCGTGGCAGTGGATGACGCCCGACGGTGGTTGACGGCCTTGATCCAATAGTGAGAGCAGTCGACGCCGGGGCAGCGGCCTGCATCCAATACTGACGGCGATAGACGCCAGACGGCAGCGGATGGCTGGAGGGCGGTGGGCGTAGGGCGTCGGATCCATCGACGCGAGGGTGAGCAGCGCCGGCGAGGGCAGGCCGCGGTGGAGTGCGGTGGCGGTGGGGAACTACCTCATCTCCGTCGGGGAAAGAGGGAGGAGGCACGGAGCAAGTAGCGCGGCGGCGGAGTCATCACGCGGTAGCGAGGAGCGCGGTGGAGTCATCACGCCGAGGTGGGGCGGGTGTGGAATCATCGTGTGTCACGCCCGGAAATTCACTAGTAATTTTCGAACTTATCTGTGCATGAAATCCTCGTCCAGGAATCAGCCGAGGTACACAAATTGACAATTTAATATACAGATTCATCAAATTAACTAAAACGATAAATACTTACTTAAGAGGCACTTAGTCCTCACCATGAAGAAAACTGCAGCGGAAAATAAAATCTAGCGAAGCTCCGGCTCCACTCCCACAGGCAGCTCAACTGGGGTATAAGCCAAACGTCTTCTCCTTCTGGATCCTTTTTCTTCAACTGAGGTTGATTGATTATTGCAAAAATGAGCATATGACATACTCAACAAGCCACACAGCAAATATGCAAGTGCACAAGGATACCAAAGGATGGCATAATATAGGCTCATTTGTAAAAGCAGCATTTAGCAAAACATTTAAGAGAAGTAAAACAGTGGAGTAATTAATCAGAAATTTTATCAACACTGAACAGCACACCCATGCTGCACAGGCCCAACCATCCTGAACAACCATACCCGGCTGTACAGATCTAATCTCCAAACCAGGAGCTAAGCAAATTATTACCAGGTATAACATCCATAATTATTGTGAGAGGTGTGAGACTAATCATGAAAAACATTGCTCAACCCGCCCATAACCGCGGGCACGGCTATTCGAATAGTTTTACTCTGGCCAGAGGTGTACCACTGTACCCACAAGACACGATTTCACACATGTTGCCATGCCCCGAAGTACCACCACGGCACTGCAAAGGGGGAAATCGTGACAATACCCTTCGCACATCACAACTCACCACAGTGCACCATTCCTGGATCATAATCACCCCCTCAAAAACCAGAGGCATGGACTCCCCAGCGACCCCCGTGGGCTTATCTCCGCCACTTCTCAGTCTGGTGCTCTGCAATGAACCATGCTATATGAAAGGTAAAGCCGTTGCCCACGTTGGCTTGTGGTTGGCACAGTTAATATTTCACAACAGTAGCTCGCGAACCGGTCCTTAATTGTCATGAGCACGACTCTCAAAACCATGTGCTCACAACCCACCATTAATCATATTTTAATTACCAATTAATTATCATAACACGATTAACCATCGTGAGCTACCATTAAATATAACCATAAATAATAATGTAGTACATATGATTCATCCCATTAGTGAGCTAATGTTTCTAAGCATGGCTAAGCAATTATATCTAACATCTAGTTGAACCATTATATATAAAGCTCAACTAGTCAAATTATAATCACCCAAGGTATCAAGGAATAAAGTAATCAATGCAAACAGGCCATAACAAAGGAATAGATTCACACCACCCAGTGACATTCGAAAATAAATGCACAGTTGAAATAAATAGAAAATTTAAATATAGGATCAACATGCTCAAAGGAATTGTGTTTAGGATCTGTGTGACTTGCCTTGCAATAATCGGTCTTCAATTAATCTTTTTGAATACTTCCGGCGCACTCGCGAACCTTCGCAATGACGAAAACGACAAGCTAACACGCAAAACGAAGAAAAACACTAATAAAAACCAAATAAACAATACATAAAAATTAAACAAACATGTAGATCATAATTTTAGATGAATTATGAGACTTGAACGGCCTCATTCCGATTTCATATGAATTTATTAAGAATTTTACAAGATTAAATCTAATTAAAGCCCATTTAAAAAGAATTAAATAAATTTAATTCAATTTATGGACAATTTTATTATGTAGATCTTTATTTTATACAATTTTTGCAACTTGAACCACATTAAACTGAGTTACAATGAATTAGTTATGAATTTTTAAAGATTAAATCGGATTAAAACACTTATATAGATTTTAATTGAATTATGACGCAATAATGAATTATTTTTGAAAAGGAAAAGAGGATTATTGCGTCAGCGGGCTCGGGTTCACGGTGGACCGGGTGCACGGCTGCGGTTCACGGAAACGGACGGCCGAGATCGATCCTATCCAAAACGGACGGCCGAGATCGATCGGATCCACCGCGGCTCACGGACGGACGACGACGATGACGTCAGCGACGACGTCAGCGATGACGTCAGCACCGGCGGCGGCTCGGCAACTCGGGCGGCGCATGCTCGCCGGCGAACGACGGCACGACGACGCAAACGGAAGGCACCAACGGGTAGAGGGCGACGCGGCGAACTCACCGGTGACCAAAACAACGGCGGAAAAGCAACGGACGGCGCCGGCGACGAGGAAGAAGCGGCGGCGAAGATCGGGTCGACGGTGGCGACGGTGCTCCGGCGGTCTCCAGCGGCGGCAAAGCGGTGGACGAGGACGGCGGCGACTTGGCGACCACGATGGCGACCTCCCCGAGCGACGACGACGACCGGAACGGCGGCGGCGCACGGCTGAAGCGGCGGCGACGACGGCGGCGCTAGGTCACACGGCGCTAGGGCGCTTCCGACGGCGAGAGACGAAGGCGAGGGAGGTGGCGGGTAGAGGAGACACCGGGGATCCTTTTAAAGGGGTTGGAAGGCGGCGGCAAAGGCCCACGGCGACCGGCGGCGGGATGGAAAGCTCGGGGTTCGGAGGAAAGAAACCGATCCGAATCGACCTCGAATCCACGAACTTCCAAAGCGATTGAGACGATGATTCCAAAAGAGAAAAGGAAGAGGAGATCGAGAAGATCATTTCCCCTCTAAAGATTTCACCGGATCGGGAAAGGATCGATCGGATTTGGAAGGAGACGGCGGCGGCGCGGCACTAGGGTTTCGGGCGGCGGCGGCGGTGCGAGGAAGACGAACCTGACAGGTGGGGCCCACCTGTCAGCGACAGCGAGAGAGAGAGGAGAGCGGCGGCTCGGGCTGGCTGGGCCGACTGGGCCGGTGGAGAGAGAGAAAGAGAGGGGTTTTGGGCCGACTTTCGGCCCAAAGCCAAAAGAAGACTTTTAAAAACCTTTTTCAATTTAAATTATTCATGAAATGCAATTCCATTTATTAAAAATACTTCCTTAGCTCAAATAAATCCCAGAAAAATCTAGGAATTATAGAATTAAGCAAAGTATTTAACAAAATTTTATCTAGCCCAATTTTATATTGAGATTTAGCAAATTAAAATTAGATCTTCTCTTCTAGGCTTTTAAAATCATTTCTAATAATTCCTTTTAAACAACAATTTATAATTTAAGGATTTTTAAACAAGAAAAGCTCTTAACAAATATAATTAGATCATTATTGATCAAATAATTACTGAACTGTTCTTTGTATCATTTAAGAATTGAGCTCTGAAAAAATCCGAGAAAATTTCAGAGAGTTGACTTAATCATGGAGAATTTAATAAAAATTAAATCCATCCATGCTTTATATTTAGGAAATTTTATTTCCCACATTTAACTTCACTTGTAAATTAAAGATCATTTAATATAAATTCTATTATTAATTTATTAAATAATTTATAAATCCTGAAACGAAAATCAGGATGTGACATCGTGCGAGGTGGGACCGTGGGAGTCAGTGCGTTGGGATGGACGGATGAGATTAGATGAGATGGCGGATGAACGGATGAGATGAGATGGGATGATTTCACCTGTAGGATTGTTAGGGGTGAACTCCTCCTTTTGATATTACAACGTTGAACCATCCTTTCAAAAGAAAAGGAAAACTAACCCCGCAAATGAAACCGTAGAGCATTAAAGATGAGATCGACACGAGTTGTAGTATTGCTCCACATACCTCTACTATAAACATGCACACCGATTGAGCCATAGATTTTGTGTGAGTTTCAACGAACTTGGTGAAGATTTTTATGGAGCTCTCTGTTAAATCTGATAATCACAAACTACAATCCTGTCGATCGAACAAACGGTTCACGCTCGATCGGAACAGGGTCGCTATATGGTTGCTGTTGTAGAATCAGAAGCAAAGATAGACTTCAAAACCCAGCCATCCTTAACCAAGAGAGGAATAGGATGACGGCGGTTGAACTCTAGCCTGTCTAGATCAACCCTAGGCATTATGAGGAAGTTGAGGAGTGGATGAACCCTAGCATTGTTGGAGCTGCGCTTGAGACGAGTAGGCACCATCTAAGCCCTGAGCCAACTATATGGAATAACACTACCGCAGAGACCAACTATTGGGCACACGTACCTTACGCTGATGTTGACGAAATCGGCAAAAAGTGATCAAAGTAAGAAACGATGAACCCGATCTGTCACAGTAGCATGGGTTAGCAAGTCCACTAGCTTCACCAGCAACCTCCATCTAAATCTTTCTTTTTGACAGTTTTTTTAGCATCACTTAAAATGAATGTCAATATAATGTTAATATGACATCACGTGAAAATTAACGACATATGATTGATGATATATACATATGTGATACTAGCTATTTAAAACCACACTCTTTTAAAATGCACAAAACCACCACCATTAGATAATGGGGTAATATAAATGGTACTATAAAGTTTGGGGGTTGAATGTCTGCTTTAAAGTTCACGATGTTAGGGATATATGGACTTCTTTTCATATTTGAAATGCCAGACGAGGTGAGTACGGTTTTCACCAAAATCTCGTTCACCCTCTCCCAGATGACTAAACATTGCTGGACGAAAATTCCTTAGCTACGTGCCTACATCCATGACTGAGAAATACGGCAAGATTCATTTGCACTTGCTAAATTTTGGCACTAAATTTGATAGCCTATCTTAGGCAACCTTATAATATGAATCAGAATAACAAATTTGCACTATATTGGGCTACCCTATACAAATTTACAGAATTTACAGTACCAACGGTTACTCGTCATAAACTAAATTGACCCCCCGAGTCAAGCTTTATTTGTCAGAGACTAAATTGACCCCCGAGTGAAGATTTATGGACCATATTGGCCAATCAAACTAGTCACAAATTGAAATATAGTTCTCTCACAAAAGAATTGTTTTATTTATTTGAGCAAATTGCATCTTACACCAAATAAAATATATCTTGTTTCGTTTTACATTCCAATTTACATTATGTGTATTGAAATAGATTCACTTAACATAT